ACGGCAACAAGGCCGAGAGCTGCATAACCAGAGTAGATAGCAAATTGTTTGGTCGATGAATCTCCGGATTTCCGTGTTGATGGAGGACATGGCCTTGAGACTACTTCTCCACAAAGTCCAGGATTACCTGAAAAACTATCAGCGGAGAACCTCCCTTTGACATCAGGAATCGGACCACTGAAGTTGTTGTTAGAGATGTTGAACTGAAGCAGATTGGAGAAGTCAAGATTTGGTACCTCCCCACTAAGTTCATTGTTCTGAGCAAGGAAAGTAATTAGCCCGGAAATTCCTGAGATATCAGGTACCTTACTGGACAAGTTATTGTCGGATATATCGAACCTCTTTAAGTCACCCAATTGTTTCAGAGAATCAGGAAGGTGACCGGATATTTGGTTACCACTTAAATAAAGACGTGTCAAATGTCTGCAATATCCCATCTCTTCTGATATCGATCCGACAATATTGTTTTTCATTTAAGCTAAGCACGGAGAGGGAACTCGGCCTGCAGACAACCAATATCAAGAACACCGGTGAGATTTAGCTGTTTGAGAACTACTTTCTTGACTAATTTCGACTGCGAATCACAGGACACACCAAGCCATTTGTCTTTGCAGGGGTCTGAAGTCATGTTCCAACCCCAACTTTGATCTCTTTCCACATTTCCAGCAACAAGTCTGTCCATGAATCCCACATGTGATCGCTTCACTTGTTCGTCTTCTGAAACGGAGACATGGAAGAGGGAGAAGAAGAAGAAAATGGGTAATATTCAAATCAAAACACGATTCATTCTTGATGAACAAGAAATGGGTTAACAAAAGTGAAGAGGATGACCTTGATCTGTTTAATAAGGAGAAAAAAAGGGGTATGCTTCATCAGGAAATGTTGGTAGGACAAACAGAAAAGAACAAGGAGGGAACTGTCGCATTGACCACATTTGGTTGCCAACTGGCCGAAAATGGTTTGTTATGTTACGGAAGAAAGGGTGAATAATGAGTGGTAACCAAACGACCGAAGTGGCGTTTTAACAGCCGGCGGCCGGCGAAGTGAAATAGTAAATGTCTTTATCAGTTGACGTCACGCTAGCACAGTCTTCTGGTTCTACAAAAGAATTAAGGCTAAACTACATATTTAGTCATCAAACTGTTCATGCAATTCCGTTTTGGTCACTCAATAATTTTTTTCTTTCAAAATCTTACCTAGTTTTTTTTTATTTCATTTTAGTCACCAATGACACCATTAGATAATATCATATCATTATTGACAAAATTAGAGAAAATACCACATCAACAACATAGTCAATTTTGTAACGATATGTAACCAAAATAAAATCAAAATATAATGCTAGATATGATTTTGAAAAAAACATTAAATGAACAAAACGAAACCATACTAATAATTAGATGACTAAATATGTAATTTATCCCAGAATTACCAATGGGATCTTCTATCCACTCCATATTTAAGATTCCAACACAAGGTTAAATGAAATCCTTTGTTCTTAGGTACGTCATCTACTGGGAAATTAAAATACAAACTATATTCATCCCAATTTATATAAAAAAAATGATAAATAATTACGTGATGTAATGTAATGTATCAGTTGCTGTTATGTCCATTATCCTTGGAGGCCCTAGTATTCTGAAACTTCACCTAATCACTTCTAATTTTCTATGCTGAGGAAAGCAGTTTATAGAAACCATGACCTCCATATGGATCAACATGTCCAGCGATTTCATCATCGCTAGACCCGGTTTCTTCATCGGTCACATCTTCATCGTCAACCGTCTCCTCATCGACTCTCTCTTTCGGGACAAATGTGTTATGCTAAGGAAGCATAACCATACAGTACCACCATATTTACCTTTTACTTTTTGATCATATTGTTTCCGATCCTTCATCATCAATGATGCAGCGTCCCTGTTTAGGGGGTCTGAAGGGTTTGGATATAGCAAGAGCTGTGGAAGAAAAACGTCGAAGATGTTCGAAAGATCTGCAAGAACAGGAAAACAACACAGAGAGGGCATTCATCAATCAAGAAGATGAATAATGCGCAGTGTCGCTTACTAGTAACTCATAGAAGTAACCGATGCTTACCAAACATTGGACTCCAGGATTGGTTAATAACATCCAAGCATAAAGAACCGAACCTGGAATTAAACCAATTTAGAAAAATACTAGTTCTGTAAAGAACTTTGAACTATCATGGAGAAATCAGAAAGACAAATCATTACCAGAATTGTTGTCTATTAAAAATCAATATACATGAGGGTGATAAATAGTTTCACCACCATTTGGGTGAAAAATCGCAGTCTGTAAGAATCAAGTTATTATTATTTTTTTAAGGAATAAGAATCAAGTTAGAAATTAAAAATTTCTCACTTTTAATTGACATTTGGGTGGAATATCTTATTCACGAATCTAATAGAAGGAGACTTGTACGAATAAGCATCTGGAAGCTCAACCCGGATTTTCCAAACTCCACCTTCATACACACCTATAAGCATTGCAGTTGAAGAGGTTAAGGATATTAAAGAAAGAAACGAGAACTTCCACAAACTGTATTGCTCAAACTTCTCATTTTGTTAAAGAGAAAATAACCTCAGTGACAAAAAATGCCTTATAATATACGATTTTAACCAATTTTTTTTTGATTTGCCAAAATGACCAACTAAATCGCAATGCGATCGATAATTCGCAACGCGATCTCCGGTATCGCAAATCAGTTTCCAGATTCGCAACGCGAACTTCGACTATCGCAATGCGATTTTCCAAATTCGTTGCGATAGTCGAAGTTCGCGTTGCGATTTATTCCAAATTCGTTGCGATTTATTCCAAGTTCGCGTTGCGATAGTCCAAAATCGCAACGATTGGTGGTATTGCATTTGTTTCTTAAGAATTTTCTCTAAAAGGATAGTATTCGCGCGGACGTGTCGAAGACACGTATTACCACGACCACGACCACGAGACAAGACGGACGGCGGCGGCGCGCGAGAGTCCCCCTTGTTCTCTATCACTCAACAAGGAAGTGAGAAAGCCAAGCCTTAAATATATCATTCCCAATAGTGTTTCCAATACTATGTGGGATTGAGCATTACCAACACTTGTTCCCAATACTATGTGGGATTGAGCCTTAAATAGTGATATTATTTGTGAATTATAGTTAATGACTTTAGTATTTGTATGAAAAGTATTTGTGGTTCGTTTAGTTTTCATGCAATTCTAATTTATTTTCAATTGATTGTAATTTCACGATAACAATTTTTTTTATTCTCGCGAGTGATGTAATTTTTTTTGAACGTTTTGCTTAAAATTGCAATAATCGCGATTGATTGTAGATTGACTTTTAATTATGACATATTTAATCGTATAATACTAATGCAATTGGTTGCTGATTCAGTTGTTTTAAGGTGCATGATTGTTAATTGTTTCCTGAATAATCACATAGTATTGGAAACAAGTGTTGGTAATGCTCAATCCCACATAGTATTGGAAACACTATTGGGAATGGTATTTAAGGCTTGGCTTTCCCACTTCCTTGTTGAGTGATAGAGAACAAGGGGGACTATCGCGCGCCACCGCCGCCGTCCGTCTCGTCTCGTCTCGTGGTCGTGTCCGTGCGAATACTATATTTTTAGAAAAAATTCTTAAGAAACAAATGCAATACCACCAGTCGTTGCGAATTGTCGATCGCATTGCGATTTAGTTGATCATTTTGGCAAATCCAAAAGAAGTTGGTTAAAATCGTATATTATAAGGCATTTTTGGTCACTGAGGTTATTTTCTCTTTTCTTAAATGACACCCCCGACACATGCATATCTAGACACGAATACGGGGATACAGTTTTTCAAGGACCCTCCATAAACATGGAATAACTTTTAAAAAATTGAACACATAACATAGGCTTGAAAGGAAACAATGGTTACAAGTTAGACCTGACGATAAAAGAAGACAAAAGAAAACTCTCCAAGTACAGCAATGTTTTCAAAATCAAATTCATTCCAAATTGATAAGCATGCATAACGCTATGGAATAGTCCCTACAGGCTACAGGAGTCAATTGACTACTGGGAGACTGGCGCTGCCAGGCAGTAACTACATGAACATTCAAATATTGTCAAAACGGATCAAATCAAATACATAATTGGAGAACCTATATTGAATAGATTAGTATGAACATACTTTCTTTGGGACCATGAAATTCAACGTTGAATTCATTGAGTCCATTTATTGTTTCCACATTATAGTCACTCATCATCCTGGATAAAATCATGTGAACATTAGCAAAGAGAGAGAAAACTCATTTACAACTCAGACTAAAAATCCAAAATTTCAGAAACAATTGCCACATTCAACGAAGCTTTCACAAAACTAAAACAGATACAGATCTCTCTGTTCATTAATGATCACGGTACAGTAGAATAACATGTGTATTCAATGAATAATAACAATTGCCTCATAATCACTTTACTTTAGCTTTCACACTTCAAATGAGGGAATCTCACATCTCAGAGAATCTCGTGTCCTAAAATTTTCAGATAAAACCACATTAAAGCTATCTACAGATTAACTGCAGAGTAAAAGTTGTAGTCTCCCTCCAAAGTAGGGGGTAACAAACAATCTATCTACTCGTTGCTTTTAACTTCAAATAAAAAGTGCAGAACTAATACACAGTTATCCTGTAGTCTGCAAACTTATTCATGATAATCTTCAAACATAATCAATATTGTCTCTTCCTTCTAATAGTTTCTACAACTGCCACAAGACTTTAACTCAGACCCACAACTTAAAAAAAATGAGTTCATAAGACTGTAAAAATGGATATACAACAATTACTGAATTGTGCTGCCAGTCTATTTATTAACCTATTCCACACACAGTCCACTCTTCAGATAATAAATGTTTCAAAAATTCAATTGATTTTACCATCTTTGCTTTAAACATCTATTCATGATACTACCCTGTTAGCCATATGGTTCGAAACATCTCAAATCACTTGTTTATTTTATTAAGTCAACTGGTTTGGTTCCTCAGGGACACCTTGATAAAACCCCTAGCTCCTCCTAACGTAATTAAAATGAATGGTGCCCAAAAACACCTTGACAAAACCACATTATCTCATTGATGCAAAACAATTGCAGACAGTCCTCAAAAACATGAAAAGATAAGGAGATTGAATCATTTAAACCAAAGACAACGCTAAGCAAGGAGATTTGAACATGCAAGAGAAACAACTTCATTACATCCATTTTTCGCCTCTTGTTTGGGGAAGACATTTTATCCAATATAATTAAATTCCAAAGTACCTGCTAAAACATCAACCGTACAATTAATTTTTTGCTTTTTCTCCAAAATAAAATTTAAGAAATGAAATTCAGACTTTAACACTTCTATTTTCTAGAATCTCTTATATATAAAACTGTTCAGGACAAACTCATTTGATATGAGTGAAACAACTGAATTGTAACAAACCTCGGATTTTATGTAATGCAACAATAGAGAATGTTGAAGCACATAATAGAGAAAGTGTAAATATGTAGAGAAAAACCAAACAAATAGATCACATCATTGTTAGTGCAGATTACATTTCAAAGTTAACTTTTCTTAGTAGTTGAATGTAGGATAGCGAGTTCGGATGTTTGATGTAGTCTACATAAATGAAGGATTCCATAAATCAGTAAAAGTACATTGTTTCCTTCACTTAAATAGCCATGCTTACAAAGACCTACTAAAGCCTTAAACAGAAATTAGAGAAGGAAATGGTCCAGATATTTTCTTTGTTCATGCATATGTTGATTTGGCCATTTCTATATTATCCAGGATCTCAACCTCTAGAATATGACCAATTTAATTCGTTTATTCTTAATCCTACTTCGACTTCAAAAATAAGTATAAAATCTCAAAAGCTTGCCATGAACATCAAAAGCTTTACTTTCGAATATCAAAAGCAATAACTTCGGGAGCAAGCCCTTAAGTTCAACACCCATTCAAACATTCAATAGTAATGAATGGAACTATGGAAGTTAGTAAGACCAAGTAATATGGCATATTTTTAAAGAACATAAACAAATGGAAGAAAAAGACTGCGATAACGTATCAAACTAATCTCAAATTCCCAGGGGATGAATATTTGTCTTAGCACACTCTCTTAGCAAGAAAATTCCCACCTAGGTTACCATTAAAATATGAAATTTCTCATTTCATGTTATTTAAAAACCAACATAATCTAAAATTGTTAGTAAATGTTCATAATTAGAACCACAACTTCATAGCACCTTAGTTACTTTGATTGACATGTGACCCTGAATCTGTTCATGCACATACTAGACGGACGCTAGGATCCGATCTTAGGAACTCATATTCTTCCGAAACAAAACCAAAATGAAATGATCTAAATAGAAGATTCAAACCTATAATTCAACCCCTAATAATTCATTCCATAGATGGAAACACTGATGCATATATAGTTCATAAAGTACCAAAAAATTTAGCACTGAGATAATAGAGAAAAAAAAAAGGCAAAAACTTCAAACTATTGCCTGCTGCTTAAGACTAACCCAAACGATTACAAACATAAAACATATTAGACCACAACTCCTCTATTATTCTGAAATTGATTCATAAACCATACACAATCCAACAATGAATAATTATGAACATAAAAGTGATAGAAATGGCTTAATTTCACTTGAAAAATTTTTAAGCACTGACATTTACTTCACAGATTTGCATTGGAACGCTACAAATAGGAATCTCTCTCATCCTTTATAAAGAGAGAAAAAGGAAAATCTGAAATGAAACCACCTTCTCAATGGTTCTTTCTTAATGCATTGACAAACCAAATACAAGGCGTTATCTTTGAAAGAGATGAAATGAGGCATTAGAAAGAAAACATACAACCAAATTCATTATCTTTCAATCGTTTTATACTTGGAATCCAAAAGAACGAAATTAATCTGAGATCTACGGCCAAATGGGTATCCAAAAAAAACAAATGACCAACAATATGATATCATGTTCTTCGATCACTTGAAGGAATAAACGTAGAAGGAAACCGAAAATATGAAACCCGGGTATCTTACGTTTTAGCAAAGGTTAATTTTACCCCAATTTTTTTTTTCATTAAAAATGATCAGGAAGAAGGTTCGGTTCAATGATAATCGATAATCTTTATAAATAGAGATTCCCGAGAAACAAACAGAAAATGTGGAAAAAAAATGAAAAAAACGGGAGAAAAGAAAAGAAAAATAATTTCTATAGGAAATAAAAGAGTAGTTACTGTCATGTTTTCATATGCACGTGTTGGATTGGAACTTAATTTCGTGGCAAGCCTGCTTTCGCGCTTTATTTATTAAATTGTGAGTTAATTGCATCATATTTCCTCAAGCTATAACCTTTATTTTAAATTGTTCCCGTAAATTTTTAAATATTCTAATTTCATCCCTACACTGTAACCCTCTTACTAAATTATTCCCCAAACTTTTGAATATTCTAAATTCATTCCAAAATTCATACAAATATGTAATTAGTTTCAACCATAGTTTAACTAAACTATGTTTTCTCAAACATATAATAATATAACTTGACTAACGATTTTATTAACAAGGGGTGTGATTAGCATATAAGTATAGTATGGGATGAACTTAGAATGTTCAAAAAGTTTTGGGACCAATTAAAATGTTCATAGTTTGGGGATGAAATTGAAATATTCAAAAGCTCAAGGACTAATTTGAATAATAGTTATAGTTTAGAGATGAAATTGGAATATTTAAAAATTTAGAGATCAATTCATAATGAAAGTCATACTTTGATTAAATATGACCTAATTAACTCTTAAATTGTTGGCGTAAAAACTAAACTAGAATGTTGTTCCCTGCCATGCGTGGTTTCCTTTGGCTAATTTATTGGGAAAAATTTATTTTAGAATTAGTTATAAGATTATTATCAAAGTAAATTATTTAACGAAAAATATATTTTATCACGTAAAATAAAATGTGTTCAATTGATAACGTCGTAATAAATATGAGTCTAATTGATCGTATCTTAATAAATACATTCTTACTTAATGTGCTTTTGTCTTACGTGACAAAATATACCAGATCTTTAATTATCTTGCATGAGAAATATAACACGCGTCTCCAATTGAAAATAATAATAAAATTCTATTTAATTAAATTTTCATAATATTTTATGAATAAAGTGCACAAATGATCCTCCCATTATAATGTGTTATTTTATTGATTCATTTACTATTAAAAGTTATAAAATATCATCTTACTATAGGACGTTAAATTGTTGAGTTTTTTTACTATTAAAAGTTACAAAATAATCACTCGACTATCATATGTTCTAAACTCGTCTTTTTTCTATTAAAAATTTGACAACATTTTAAGCTGGAATCTAAGATATGCTAAAATATAATCTCAGAATCTCAAACGACTATCCTATTTTAGTCAGCATGTTAACGTCCAGCTCAGACGACCATCAATTTTTTAACGAAAAATGACAAGTTTAGAACATATGAATAGTCAAGTGATCGTTTTGTAACTTTTAATAGTCAATAGACTCAACAAAGCAACACCAAATAGTCGGAGCATCATTTTGTTACTTTTAATAGTCGAAGAACTCAACAAAACAACGCACTATCGTCGGAAATCATTTATGTAATTTACCCTTATTTTATTTACTCAACAAAGTAATGTTTTACGATTTTAATTTGTTTAAATAATTTATATTTACATAATTCACACTTAAATAAATTGATATTTTAAACAATTCATGTTTACATAATTGATAATAAATTAATTTATCTTAATAAGTATTTACAATCTTTTACGTTAGAATTATTGATATTTACAATAAAACCAAAAAATAAATCGTCTCATTCACGAATGACCTCTGTATAAATCGATCGTGGGTTAAACGTTAGATTCTTTGTAATAAACGATATCCAATGAGAGCGTCATTTTCATCGTCACGGGTGATTTGTCCAATATCAACATGTACTAATGGGACATATTAATTCATTAACGAGTGTATGGTGATGGATGATGACGTGTAAGGAATAATAATTGCAGAGGCATCTAATCAAAATCCTATCACTGAATGAAATTGGCGAAACTCACATGGATGAAAACGAGGTCAGTAACTGAAATTGTTGTGGTAGAAGAACAATCACACTCGACAACATATGTTAGGTATGATAGTACTGGTATATAAATCCTTACATTTGACTCGACGCAACTAGTACATGTTGCATCGATAGAGCTCATAGCAACAATTGTGGAGGTTGTGGCAGTCCGGGTAGAGCTGATGAGAACGCACCGAAAAAGTTCCCTCTTCTCTAATTAAATAAGGACCGATGATATTATGTTGGTGGATACTTTTTCCTTGACTGTTGTACCGTTCGATCTCAAACAATCGATAAAGAGAGGACAAGTTCCCTCTTCTCCTCCTTAAATCGTATATCCCCACGCAATTCTCCGGAGTTCACTTTGACATTCTTACTCTCTATTTGAAGCTCTTTCAGCCATCCTTTAGCTCAGCATTATTTTGAATCATATTTAATCTTTTTCCACAAATTCATCACTTTACCCACAATCACCAGTTTTCCATTACTTTGGTTTACGTTATTTATAAGAGTTCCAGTTTGTGTAAATTCTAAGTCCAAATCAAAAAATATTTAATCACTTGTCCAAGCTTAGGTAGTTTTGCATTTTCATGGTATTTTGTTCAATTCTTGCCTTTTTTTTTAAAGAGGAAAGAAGGTAAGATTTGTTCAAAATTTAAAAATTGGACCTGATATTAGCTATAGACTTAAAATCAGTCTTTTATAACTGCATCAAAACTTACTCGAAGCCTTCAAATGTTTTATGAATAATAATAATAATACAAGTCTTTACTTCCGGGGTTGACGGACTGTCATCGGACGACAAATCTAACAAAATTTGACATCAAATTTAAGATTGGACAAAGAACTTCTAAGAATCTAAGATCTTTCACTAAACTAAATATTCGGTGTTCACCTTGTGTGCGTCAACTTTTGAACTTAAATACTTGAAATCTGCCAATGGCAATCTCTGGCAAATTCGAACCTTACTTGATTCGACAACAAAAAAAACTCTGGACTTCAAACCTCCAGTCTTTATCATCAGACTAACTAGCTCACTGTCATACGTACAGCCAGAAAACAAACCTCAAATATTGTCCTCTGGCTTAAGGGTCCAATGGAACCACTGGTTCAGCATCCGACTTCTAAATCCAGGCGTTGCAGGTTTTGAGTGTATCATATTTCGGTGGTATCAGTTCTCTGCAAAATTAATAGAAGGAAAATACTTTTAATCCCTGCCAAATGAGATAAAAAAAAATGTTATGAATACTTAGCTAAAGAAGCCCCCCATTCAGCAAAATGTAACAAAGTGGAAGAAAACCAGAAAAAAAATAGAAATAAAAGATTAGAAAAGGTCCCTGGTTTTCATGCCTTGAGATCAACAGACATTGCTGATGGTATGCAGTGCGTTGCAAGAATATCTAGAGTAGCTGCTTTAGCTATCTTTGTTCTAAGTACAACTATCTGCATAAAACCACAAACATAAATGCACTGCAACAAAAGCATGCGCTGGAAAATATACTAAAGAGAGAGAGAAAACCTGTTCATATTCTAAGTCAAATTTCATAAATTCCTCATCGCAGTTCTCTACCATCTCTGCCAATATCCTTAAATTCTTCACAGGCTTACCATTAAGAGCAAGGACCTGTACAGGTGAAAAGAACAATGTATTCATAAATGATAGATAAAAAACCAAACTCCTTAAATCAAATGTAGTTGACAATGACTAATGATCCTAACCTGTGTGTTAACAATGTCCTCATATCCAATGTTGATATCAGATACAAGAACCTTGAAAAAAATTGAAGAAAAATATGTTAGAACAAAATCAGCAGAATATGTTCACTGTAATAAGTAGGCATGCATATGTGCATGCACACACGCACAAACAGGAGAAAAATGAGAGAACCTGAGACACTACAACAAGCTGCTCATCAGGTGACTGCGGCATTGAATGCAAGAGTTTGTCCAAAATCTTCACTGGAGCTTCATATTCATAATCTTTCCCATACTGGGTAAAATTTGCAAATACAGCTAAGATTACTTGGAAACATCATAGACAGGTAATGTTGTCACGGAATTGAGGAAAATTTGAAGTTCTACATTTTTTATGATCTAAATAATCATAAAATGTCACTATAAAAGGAAAAAACTTAATAAGCAACATAAAATTGTGCTTGATATCATAACTATACCATTCATCTTCTGATCCATTTATTGCATAATTTGAAAATAAATGTATAACTGGAAACCTAATACAGTTGGAATGTGGCAAAAGAAAATGGTATCGGTACACCATTACATAAATCCCTGTTCCAGATCCTAAAAATATGAAAAAGATGATGTAGCAAGTAACAATTGATCTTCTAGTATTAAGAAAATGGTATTCTACACTAAATAAAACAAACGAGAAAACATTCTCTTTCTGATATTCTACAGGCCTTAACAGGCTTTATTTTATTATTATTGTGACAGACAGAGGCACTAGATTTTGAAGTAGACAACATACCTCAGAACGTAAATATGGAACAGATACAGTTGTAAACACAAATCCTGCAATAATATAATACGAAGGAGGTATGCCCTTGTTGTGTGCTGGAACAACCCTTCTGTGTGCTATAAGTTTGACATTGAAATTGAGAATCTCCGAATTACGGAGAACTTGAATAGCCGAACTATCCCCGGTATATTTTTGAGACACTAGGTAACTAAAACCTATGCGTTCTCCATGCCGAAAAGGAACTGAGAAAACATCAAGAATGGAGAACAAGTACAAAGTCGGGTAAAAAAACGTGTACAAGGATTAAACAAATGAGAAAAAAAGAATACTTGAACAGTTGAACTTGTCAGTTTTCATTATAAAAATAATGGGAATGTTGACTATTTGTTCAAGAGTGAAGAGTGGTCTACGGATTAACACTTTTGGCATACCTAACAACTTTCATTCGGTGATTTAGTTAAATTTGTATGATCATGTACACATTTGTGAAGATAGAAGCTCTTATATTAGTAAATTCTTGATCAGGTTAACCCGAGAATTCATCTTAAACACATCCTCATAAAAGTTCAGCATTCAATGCCACCCTTATTATTGTTGGGTTTGAATTGTTAACTTAGAAATATATAAAGCTCTACAAACACATATTTGAAGTAATAATAAACTTACTGAAGGTATTTTCCAGGTAAAATACATGAACTTGTTTAGTTCAAGTAGTACTAGTTAGTTTTTATAATAACAAGGAATTGCTCTTATAATAGAGTAATAGTTAGTCCTCATGACAAGGATTCGCTCTTATAATAGACAACATAAAAGGTTCGTGCATAATAATTCCAATCAGAAAAAGTAGAGAATACGAGAATTGATTTCTCTCAAGCTAAATATTGTACAAGTCTGTGTGTATATGTATTATTCTAAACAAAAAGAACAACTTACCTGTTCCATCATTGGCAATATCAACCCCATCAAAGCTGAGCACAATATCTGATGACTTCAAAACACCAGATTCGGGAGCAGTGGGATCAACTCTTCTGATTCGAACACCTTTCTGATCAGGTTTCATGCCCATTGCTTTACGCAAATCAGGATTTTCCATTTTCTGCCACTCAAACCCCAACATCGGGAATCCTGGCATGATATAAGTGATGATGAAACTTTAATCAAAGTGAAGCAAATAGTACTTGCATCACACAATAAAAAAGTAGAACAGTACATTAATAAAACTATTATTTGAAAGACCCAAACTAAATTACCAGTATAGGCTTCATTCTTCTCATAGTCTTGGATAAAATGCTGGATAACTGGCGTTGGTATCACGTACCCTATATTTTCTGCATCTTCATGTTTGAGAGACTGAAATGCAATTCCCACACAACTGCCTTTATCATTGAAGGCAGGCCCACCAGAGTTTCCAGAGTTTATAGCAGCATCTATCTGCAAAGAATAGTGCAGAATAATAACAGAACAAATCTTTTAAGGTTTGCAATCACATAAAACAAATGCTAGAAAAGTAATATGTATTGTAACCTGCAAGCCTAGGAGCTCAGTCGACCCATGAACATAAGACAGGATTTCTATCCGTGATACAACTCCACTTGTTACAGAAATTGTATCTCCCCCAATTGGGTAACCAACAACAGTTACAGCATCTTGAAGAGCAGGCAATTCTCCAAATTCCACTGGTGATACACCTTCCCAGAACTCATCATCATCAACTGTAAGCATTGCTGCTTCACCACATAAACCAAATCATGCATTCGACCAAATAGAGAAAAGAAAGCTATCATCTGAAATCACGAATGCATCCTCCAGAATGTCTTTTACTTTCACATCATACGGACAGATGTCTAAGTACTTCTCTCTTCAACATCAGTTCAGACTTCACACTATGAATGGTTAGAACTTAGAGTTTTCCTGTCCTAATCTTGCGCTATATACCAATTTTTCATCAACCCTCTTGCTACTTAACCAAGCATAACCTCCAAAATAATTTAAATAAGTGCTCATCATAAGTCAGTTTTCTAAGTCGTACCCTGCATATGATGTTGCCAACACAGAATGCTGACACTCTTCTCTCAAAAATTGTAGAGAGAGAGAGAGAGAGAGAATCCTTACACCACAAGAAACTTACTTAACAAACAATCAATGGTACAAGCTTCACCCCTATGAGCAAAAGAGACCATTGCAACCCCTCTCTGCTTGATGCAATTAACAATTTGCATGACAAGATAACTCCAGGTAAAAGATACTAGTTAGCAATAGGTAATCATAACATCATGAACATGGTATTCATTTTCAACATATGATTTGTGTGATTAACTAAAATTCCCTATTATGCTCAAAGTATAACACGTTGAACAGAAGCATTGATCATATTAGGAATGCATTAGAAATAAAATCGTATGAAAGAAGTTAACATACCAATATCACATTCGGTTCCAATAGAAAGAACAGTAGCCAAGTACTTAGTATCAGACCCACGTTTCTTAACTTTAACCTGAGTGTAATGTTCAACAGAATGCGCATTTGTCAAAACTCTTCTCTCTCCGATCAAGAACCCGCTGCTACTAGAACTATACTGCCTTTTTCTCTGCCAAGGCAACGAGAAATTGGGCTCCGTGTGAACGCAGAACACCTTGACCACAGCATCCATTGCCGACAAAGCCCCGCCGCCCAACTCCCCTCCTTCGTTTCCTCCAAATTCGCCGCCGTTTGGAAAGCAGCGGGAAGGAGATAGGATTGGAGGAGGGGCGGAGGAGGTGGAGGGGATGATTTCGATGTTAGTGAGGGAGAAGGCATCATCCGAGGAAGGAGAGGATTGCAGGGGATTCGAGGGGGCAGGGCTTTTGGGCTTTCGACCTCTTTTTCTCTTGGTACCCCCCATGAAAATTACGAAGGAAAAATGGGCGAACCAAGTCCACAGGGATCAAAGACGAAGAAAGGAAATATTGAAGCACGATGAAATTACAGACAGTGCCGGAGGGGGTTCTTTCCCTTCCCCCCCCCCCCGGCCCGACTTTTACTTTCATAAACTACAATAATAGTCCTCCAACTAGTAACACATTTCTATTTAATACTCTAAAAATTGTAAAATATCATTCAATTTAACAAATTTATCTTTTATATCTATTTATGTCAAACTAATCCCGAATAAAACGTTGACCACCCCTATCACCTTAGTTAATCGTCATCGTTGAAAAAAAATCACTTTAATCCTATCAATATTTCCAAGAATTAAACTACTTAATTAAACTAGTAATTGATAATTTATTTTTGTCTCCTAAAATTTTATAAATTCACACCATTATATAATATCCTTTAATATAAAATCTTACGTCTGTCCCTAAATAACATTAGTGAGTGTTATGATATTGTTGTACTAAAAATACGATCCCATGAATTAAATGGAGGGTCAAGTTAGTGTAAAAGCGGACGAAGCTACATAGTAGTTATGTAGCTCGGAGGGGTTACTGTCCCTCTTAATGTTTTTTTGTATAACAACATTTGAGGCCTTTTTTTAATATTAGTCAAATAAGACTTTTATCCCTCTCAATTTATAGATTTAAATACTTAATAGATTCTTATTCTTTTGATATAAAATTTTTCCCCTCAATATTTGATTAATATTTAAAACTTCAACTATCGAAATGTATGGAAAATAAATGGAAAACACGTGCGAAGTCATTTTTGTGTTTCACTGTGTTATGTAATGTTGTATGAACATGGGGATTACTGATTTATGCTCATGTAAATCGACATAATATGATGCAAGCTTATAAAGCATGTTAAAAGTACTTAAAAGTACATCATATGTGAAATTACGATGAAACATGTGTGTAACACCCTAATTTAGGGGTTAAATTTAAGAAATTATAAATTGGTAGATTTAATTAGTATTTTGAAAGAAATTGTGGATTAAATTGTAATATTTCAAAGTTGATAGACCGTTTTAAGAAGAACATAAAATTCAGTGACTAAACCTATAATTTAACTATTTTTTTATATATTGAATTATAAATCCTTGTGCGTAGGTTCAGAAGAGATTTTTCAGTTTTCCCTCTCCAACAACCCTTCTTTCAACTCTGATCTACTCGTCGTCCGACTTCCGATCGACGAGCTGAAACCACCATCGTGTTCGTTGTCAACCAAGGAACAAAACCCTTCAAACCTTTTGTCGTGAATCGTCTCCGTTCGTCGTTAATTTCAGTCGGAAGTATCGTCAGTAATAACTCGATTTCAATTGGTTTTTCGTCGATTCACGACGATCCGGTCATCCGTTTACGACACCTTCCGCACCATCGTGTTCCTTGTATCGTTCCGAGTCCACCGGTGTTCTCCGTTTCTCCGTCGTCACTGTCGCATGGAGGGGTGAGACCATCAAAGTTTCTGACGTTTTGTAATCGAGCTCTCCGCCGTTCAAAATTATGAACCGAGCTTTGTAAGTGCCTTAAAATCGCTTAAAATAATTTTTAGGAATTTTTCTGAGAATTTTCCGACACCGTATCACTGTTCACGCGCCACCCCCCGAGAGTGGGCATCGTCTGGGTGATAAATTAGTAATTAATTTATGTTTGTGTGCTATTTGTGTAAAATATGGTTGTTAGATTGGTAAATATTTACAGAATGTGGCTAATTTGGTAATTAATTTCTGTTAGGGTGATATTTGTGTAAAATGGTCGACTGTTGACCGGCGTTGACCATAGTTGACCAGAACTTTGATTGGCTTTGACCGGGCATTAAACGACCTTTGACGTTGACCGAGTATACCTATCATGATATTTTTCGACGTTCCAAATCCGATTCCGCAGTCCGTTTTTCAAAATTCGGACCCGAAGGCATCGAAATTGCAAGTCAAACTCGTTGACTTTGATTTTGACCAAAAATTCCAAATTTTCGAAAAGTCATATTTTATGCTTTCGACGTCCTGAATCCGAATCCGAAGTCCGTTTCGCCAAATTCAAACCCTATAAGCTATTTTTGACTGATTTATCACCCGATTCAATTCGTTCATCGCAATTAAGCTCTGTTTTTGATGTAATTTCTGTTGATATGGATCCGAGAAAATATTGGAAGATGATTTCAAGATTGAGGACGTTTTAATGGAATTTAATGGTCGATCAATATTATACGGAAATCGAGGTAATACTTTACTACCTCTTTATGCTTTATGGAACATGTTGATATTGGTAAATGCATGAATAAGATAATGTTGATCACTTTTGTGGAGTTGATTAATTTATACACTCGATATGAATGTGGTAGAAATGCGATAACTGAATTCGGGTCGAATGATTAATATAAGAGATTGAGGGAATGTTAGAATTAAATTACAAGTTGTGTAATTTGTGATAAAGAAATCAGCCATGGATTTGTAACTTATATTTTAAAGGTTAAATGTTAAAGGTACTTGAATGGGAAATTATGATAATACTTCGGTAGGGTAAAATTACGAAAATATCCTTATATTGTAAGATGACAAGAATTGTCCCTGGAAGTTGGTTAATAACTCTGAAAAGACATATTGATATGATATAATTACAGATGTGCATAAGAAATGCTAGTTTTACGTAGAAAATTTGGATAATTGGTTTTTAACCTTAAAAGGGTCTGTATAAGATATTATAAGTCTGTTAAGGAATCATTTCGAGATTAAAGAATGTTCGGGAAAGCAATTAACCATTGGATCTCTAAAGTATAATTATTTTTGTTAAAAGTTAATACCGAAATTATCTGATTAAGAAATTACGAAAATGCCCTTGAGAGGTAAAAATAATCCAAGTTGACTCTGAATGAGGAAGTAACATGAGAATTTGTTTTTGAACTAATAAATTACTGATTTGATTATTGAGATCCTATTTTTGTATGGAAAATTCTGATAATCTGTTAGAAACATCTGAGAAGGCATTTAACTTGGAAATCTCCGACTTGAGTAAGTACGTGAAGAATAATAATTTATTGATGGTGATATTTTGTCAAAATAGTTCAAAGGGACTGACATAAATGATAAGTTTTAAATTAAATAATAAGACCGAACGGAAGGAAATGATTGAAATATTCTAGATTTGTAAAATAACCAAAATACCCCTGGAATGGAAATGACTCAAGAATGTCACCAAGCTCAGGAATGAATGAATATACTCAAGCTTTGAAATGAATAGAAAAATATTGAGCACCAAAATGACCAAAATACCCTATTGGCCTAGAATAAGTAAATGTCTTGGATTAATTAAGGAATCCAAATAAACATGGATGTTGTACTGCTCTTAAAAGTTATGGAATGCAGCTTAAGTGATCAACCAACGTTAGTGCTATATCATTACCTGAATGATATAAGTACCACTTGAATGTTTGTTCATCTTCTCAAATTTGGATCGATGATAATTCTGGAAGTACTTGGCTCAACTCAACTCTACAACGCATACAGTACTAATAAGTGGGTATTCGTGAGTCAAATCAACCACGAATACCAGAATGACTTTATTATATGAATAAATTGAAATGGAATGAAGTACAATGTGTATTTGAAATTCAGAAACATCTGAATTATTCTGGAAAACTTTAAAGTAATCGGGATAGACTTGCTTACTAAAAGAACTAAGTAACATCAATGACTGAGGATTAAATAGGTGATTGGATGAGTTTGGAAACACTGTTGAACTTACATGATGAATTGTCCTTATGGGTTATGAGCCATGGATCAAGTACGTCCGTATTTCCTGATATTGTTGAAACGTGGAAATGAAATAAAGACAGTTGGAAGATTTATTCAGTGATGATTATGGGGATGATCTATGGATCTGCATTATGGTATTAAAGAGTGAATACACTGGAAGGATAATGAATTGACTTGTTGACATGCATCAGTTTGAGAGTTGTGTAACTCGAGTTGTTTGATAATATGATCGATAGTCGTAGATTGTAAATGACTTGAATCTTTGATTCTATATTTCATCTAAAATCACTCCGGTCATGTTTGAAAAAGCAAGTAATGCAAAACAAAAAGATTCTGAATACCTCATTTGGTTCAATTGGGCTGAAATTCTATGAATTCAAAGTATATTCCTGAACACCCCTGATTGTTTGGGTAATTGAATCACTCGCAGTAAATCTGAATTTAGAATTATTATGTATAAAGTTTCCTGAACGTTTTCCTAATGCACACGAAAATATAGTGGGATTCTAAAGGATCAACCTTAAATGTCTAGCTAGATCGGTTAGTAATCGATTCTCCTCAATAGGACCTTGTTCCTGGAATTCGATCAAATTTCATAAGTTTCATGTTATCCATAATGATAACTACAATGGCCTCTGAAAATACTTGGATTCTCTAGTGTGTTCCCTATTTATTACTGAACTATTTTATTTGTTTTAAAATGTGGTACACTGAATTCTATGGCTCCTATTTTATTGATGCACCAATTTATTGTAATGTTTTATGGATTAAGACGACTATCTGATTTTAGGTTTGAACTGGTATTTGATTACCATGTATATGGATTTATGGAATTTATGTCACGGTGCAATTGTATTTTTGATACGGATTTATAAAGTACAGCTCTGATCAAGCTGGAAAACTTTGACGGACCTAATGTGACTCTTGGGTAGGCTCACGGGCCCTAAGATGTTCCATTAGGTTGGCTCCTTTTTGCTGTGTGATTAGGGTAAGCCCTATGGACTTACGGACTTAAGGATACAGGCAACAAAGCCTATCCTTAGGTTGGATTCCTTTTCGTTGTGTGCTTAAGGTAAGCCCTATGGACGTAATTCTAGGAACTGCGGATGGTGTACAAGAGAATGGTTTAAACTACAAGTTTCTAAAGTTAAATTTCATTATGATTTTATGAGATTTACTGAACTATCATTTGAAAAGTGTACCTATTATGATTTTATTATACTGTT